GCCACGAAAGACGCATCCTTCGTCGTATTCAAAAGAACCAAGCAGCCACGCCCCCTCCATCTCCGGAACATGAAGTGCGAGTAAATGGACATGTTTTCATGCCGATGAAGGTAAGCCAAAAGGGAACGGTTTGCTGTTCGAGGTCCTAATGAAATTAATCACTTTCAAAAATTACACTTCCTCGAGGAGCTTTAATTGCAAACTGTACGCCCTATCGCCTTGAAAGTACCACCCTATCTCAATGTGCTTTGGAGCTTTTGTGTTCTCATTGTAGGTCCAACCTGTGGGAGGCCAATAATTGTGTGAGAGAGAAAGGCGGAAGTGTACGCGTAAAGCCTTCTGCAAACAGACATCGCGTTTCTGTGTGATCGGGTGACATTCGGCGACTATATGACGAATACTTATTAAGCGGCAGTTGATCCTTAGTCCTGAACCAAACATTGGTTTCCCCTTCATTCCGTCACTCAGCAAAACAGTCGGGCTGATTTCTCCCGCCCTGATTCCTCTTTTTGATCTCTTGCCACTCGTTTTGAAAAATCATTTTTGTACTTGGAATACATGGTTCTGGCAGAATACACGACAGTTGCAGCATGTGTTCCTTCAAATTATAGTTGATATCGTCGAAATCATTTGGGGGGGGGGAGGGTGGAGAGGGGGTATCGGACAGGGAATGATGGGTTTCCGGTCTCCTTTTCTCCCAGTATCTGCTGCTGCAATTTAGAAAAAGATTAATCAAGGGTGGAAAACGGCCGCAGGTGGGTTCATTCGATGCCTCTTCACACACTCCCCCCCCCTGTTTGCGGCGGTAAATTAACTTACAAATCCAACCCTTTTGATGATCAGCTTTTCCTGTGGAGACTCCAAAGTCATCCAAAGGCTAAGACTCGAGGAAATAGCAATCATGTTTTAGAGCAGCTTCAGTTGGCGCTGTCATCAAATCGACTTTCAGTGGCTCATAGCTTGTAAGCCTGCCTTTGAGCTGAAAAGTTCGTAGGTAGCATGGTTGAAAAACAGAACGGTGTGTGCTAGTTGACTCGCCAGTGGACAAAAAAAGGGAAGGAAACCGTCGAGAAAGCTTTAAACAAGATTTCAGTCGTGCCGCTCAAAGGCACAAGAAGCACAGCGTAGAGACCCGGCAAACAGGAGGGTGGGTGAGCGTAATATAACATCTATAAAATCAGGCGGAGTCATTTGAGCAACCTTCCGCCTTACCGCCGCTACCTCGCCGTTTTCTGACGTGGATCTTATACAGGGTTGTTCGCTGCACATATGTAGACTCTTTTATCCCTCGAGACGGGGTAGCATGGCAATTCGATACATGCCACGGAACTGGTTACTCGTGGGATATTTAAATTTCAGACAACTGCCATCTTGTTCTTTGTTGGAAAAAGACGTGACCACCATTTTGGGTCAAAATGAAAATGTCTTTCCAAGAGCACAGCCACCACGACGTTTAGTTGAAGTACGCAGCCACGCCTACCTCATCTCAGGGATTTCGAGTGTACCATATCATGATACAAAAGTTTTTCGCTAAGTGTAAGTGATCGTGATCTGCCTCCGAGGGTGAGGATGGGGGGCATTTTTCTAGTTTGTTAATATACTTTTACTAGTTGCTGTCCGCTTACACGTCTTGCCTCGACATCCATGTTCGGAATCAGTAAGATCCTATCAGGCCAACGCCTTAGCAGGCGTTTTTTTTGTGCCAACGGCACCGCTATAGCGCCTAACCAAGGTGCAAGATGCCGACACGAACGCCCCTGCCACGTCGCCACCAACAAATGGCCGAAGGTCTTCCGCCGACCAGGTACTCTTTATCGCTTGATTTGTGAGAGTAGCAACTAAGAGCGTCTGCTAATATGATATATGAATTACATACGTGCACTCGACGGGCCCTCAGAGTGGTTGCTGCAGCCGCCCCGGCCACAGGTGAAACTCGTCCAAAAATGCTCGTCCAATGCCGTGCGGAAAAAAGCCTTTTTCGCGGGTCCTTAGCGAATTAACTTCCCTTTTTCGGCATTTTCTTGCTACCACTTCTGAGCAAGGGCCAATATATCATGATCTTTCCCTTTAGGTTGCTTGAAGAATAGCATCACTCAACCCACTGATATTGATGAAGTTGTTTCTAGGAAGGTTATAGAGACTGATTCGATAGTGTGGATCTTTGCCCTGTTCTGGCTGTTGCTTCTTGTTACGCTTAGGTGTTAAAGTCATCACAAGATAGCCACATAAGTTGGCAGGGAATGAGCGCTGATAAGCTATCGCGAATGTAAGATTAAAGGCGCATCCGCGATTACCCAACGCCTAGAATCTTCTACTTGCACAGCAATCCGGTCCGCAGTCCCATAGATTGTAACATTTCGGTGACTCAACCGCGAGTGATAAGGGCGCTGCGGGGCTTATAAGCTTAAAAAGCGCCAAACGTGGGATTGGTATCACCCACTTGGAGGCAAGACGCGGTGTGATACGTGCGCTCATATTGTATGTGAGCGGTCCTCGTCGACTTGCTGGTCTTCCTGCTAGCTTTTCTGTTCGCTCATCCTTAGTCTCTAGTCTCTCATCAGCGCAGTAGTGTTTCATATTTTTTGATAATCGTCCAATTCCTGTAGCCTGTTGGGGACCGTTTCACGGTTTCTCCACTCTTCTCTTTATGGATAAGTCAACTGTTATTCACGAAATCATATGTGCGGCAACGAGGTTGGTACTTTCTATGTGCGAGGTGGATGGCTCCGCCGCAGCAGGCTCCGTGGTACTTTCCCTGCCAAAAACATGCACGAGAACGGAGCTGGAGGGACTCTCGGGCACTGTCTCCGGACTCCCGCGCTATCCTCGTTGTGCAGCACTTGCGTTGAAACGAAAACCCTGCACGTATCAGCGATAGAGAAGCAATCAGACGCAAGAGGGCCTCAGACAAGCACGCATGTGTTATAGTGAAATGCCCTAAGATCGGTAGGCGTGATCGCGGGCATCGAACCAAGCCTGAAATTGTGTAGGCTTCTGGTGTGATAGTTTCCCCCACTTGACACACACTTTGTCCAACACAGAACAAGATGACAGTTGTCCCAGACTGGAATATTCCACGAGTAACCAATTCCGTGCGGTGTTCAAATGCCACGCCTACTCTGGCTCAGGGATAAGGAGTGTGTTTAGGCATGGGACCGAACAGTGCGGTACCTTGCTCCATGCACCTACGACCGGAGAAAGTGACGCGCTAGGGCACGACACGCAACTACGAATGCCGCTCTAAATCAAAGGACGCAGGATCCACGAAAGGGGGGCGGGAGTGTTCAAGTTTCTTTTGAGTGTTAAGGTCATTCAGACAAATCGCGATGTATTCGTTGACCCCGCTGAGGTTCTTTCAGTAGGGAAAAAAAAAAAAAAAAGTCCCCCCCCCCCCCCCAAAATGGAAAAAGCTTCAATCCACCATGTGAGGGGAAGGTATTAGGTAAAGCTGAAACACTTGAACGCTCCGTCCGCGGATCAGGTATAAGAAGTTGGAACTATGGCGTTGGGAGGGTAGTGCTGTCCGTGGCGAACAACCTTCTACTGGTTCTGCGGCAAAAAACTTGTAAGCGAGGAGCGTGCCATAGCGCAATATGGGCTCAGTGATGCCTCCTTTTTTCAAGTGACTCCGCCAACAGGAAAATCGTCACTTGTACAGTCGTAGAGTTCTTAATGGGGAATCAGCTGCGCAGATGGTGTAGATAGAGTTCATTAGGCACGTACAGACTGGTGATCAAAATGGGGTTCTATCTAGGACAGGTGGCATGTTTTTTTTCTGCTTTTTTCTTCACTATCGAGTTACTAAGCACCTTGCCTTCTATATGCGAGCTCCTAATCCACTATCTGTGATAGCGAATAATCGCGGGGTTTGCCTTCAATGAAAGTGAAAGTTAGTAGAAAAATAAAGCTATAGAAGAAATTACATTGACCCATATGTACCGAGGAATGTAGTGAATAAGCCTTCTTTGACTCAATCCTTTTTTGCGTAATCCTCTTATATCATCTCTTTCCACTGTTCAGAATGACTTGCCCTTCTCTCGTCCCTTTCTGGATTAAAAGGAACCAATTTGTTGTTTTTTAAGGTCCGCAAGCAAACGAAATGGGTCGATTCGACAATCGTGCGGTGATTGTAACTGGTAAGTGCCACTATGCCCAATATGGTCCCATGGTCCCATGTTAGTTATTTTCTGCACAAAAAACAGTGAAATTGATAACAGTCGGCCCTTATGTGTGTCTGTTCGGCTGGAAATGGCAAAACACTGTCCACATTAGTCGCATGGCGGAGACGACCACTAGGCCTTCCCCACAGGTTCGCCATTCCGTACAGGACGGCGAAGAGAAAACGCACCCTACTAAGGGACGCAGAATGTTTCAAAATGCCTGCCTATGCCTTCATTGTGCTTTTCATGTACTTCTCCACAGGTTCGTCCAATGGAATCGGTCGTGCTACCGCTGTGATGTTTGCTAAAGAAGGAGCGATGGTGACAATTTGCGGACGTGATGAGAAGACACTGAATGTTGGTCTTAAGAAGCTCTTCCTGCTTATATTTGATGACGTTTTTTTGGCGCTATGTGCCTCGGGACGGGTCATCATCTGGAGCGACCGAGAAAGCGTTCAGGCTTCGTGATGACCAGTGTTGACGCGCTAAGCCGATCACTGCTTCATGAGAGAGTATAGGAGATTAGGAGGATGCGCGTTGCTCAGTCTCACAGTTTGGTACACACTCCTATACTATCTATACTCTCCGCCCACAAGACTAGCGGCAGGCGCAGTTCGAAACCATCCATAGCGGCGCTGTTTGTGTCGACGGGGGGGCATTTTGTACTATCATTGCTTCCCTAGTTCCGGTTTACAATCTCACTCTGGTAAAACTTGTGAACTCTTGTGAAGCTGGAGCAAGATCGTCTAGCCACCATCCTAAAACGTGTCAACTCGAGAAAAGGCTACCTAGATGGGTCGGCACATCTATGGAAAGCAGAATGCCCCCGTCGACAAACTGCGCCGTCCATGGCTATGTTTCCGCTTATAGCCTTAGAGCGTTATGCAATAGCAGCATGACGTAGCGCGCCGACGCGAAGTATGAATGCTGCCTAACTTGCCATTTCTGCTCGTCTACACACTCTCACCGAGACAGCGTGGCATGTTTTAGGCACGGCTTTCGTCTTTGTCAGAAACATTTCACCTGCCTAGTATGCCCTTCCACAGCATGACTTGCTCGAAAAGGAGCATTAAGAAGGTGACTTTGTCGTGCCAGAGCATGATGTAGCTGAATCCCCATGATGAGTGGCCCCTCCCAAGGCACACAGTAATGAACATGTATGTCATCTTAAGGAAACGAAATCGATGGTACTGGCCGTGAACGGTGGCGACGAGAAGAAGGTTTTCGTTGCCCGTGGTGACATCTGCGACGAAAAGGTGATGAAGGAAATCGTCGATGGAACCGTCAAGGCGTTCGGTCGATTGGATGTCCTGGTGAGTCCATATCCGGTAGACATGGTGAAATAGAGATAAAAGGTGGTCGGAAATGAACAACATTTGCGAAATACGCCGTGAATTCCACTTGTTCCCGGAATAGGCTCCCAAATTTACTGCTCCTCACAGTGACCGGTGAGAGTAAGCTGGTTTTCAGTGCAGTGTCTTCTTCTACTTTCAGACATACCATCTTGGCAATACGTGATGAGGCACCACTTTCGCATTGAATTCAACATTTTTCGAATCAAACTCTACATTTTTCAAAATGGAATTCGACATTTTTCAAATTGAATTCAACCCAGTACATATTTGAGCGAAGCCCTTGCTATCAGTTTTACAACTAGTTCAGGGTGAAAATATCACAAAATATCACATTTGCGCCCTTCTCAAACGGTTGTTGTATGAGGGGCTGAATTTGACGAGGGCCAAACCCAGCCCTCCTGACACGCCCCAGCGTTTGCAGCGAAACGGCTACACCTTGCTACCATACTTCCTATTACCTACGCCTCTTATTAGCGAACAAAGAGAGTACCTTCGGAATCTCCAATTGGATTATCCCAATGAACCGAGTGAATTCACTTAACAATTCATTTCCAGGTGAACAACGCTGGTGGCTCCAACAACAACGACTGGCAAAAGCCAGAGCTTGACACCGACCAGAGCTTGACACCGACATGAGCAATTTTGAGTACACCCTCACTCTGAACACTAAATGGTATGCCACCAAAATGGTTCCCTAAAATGTTACCGAAATACCGTATTCAGCATCCTGCGCCTGTGTCAGCTGGCCTTTCCACATTTGGCGGAAAGTCCAAGGCGAAATAGTGAACGTGAGCAGTATTGCTGGTCAGCCAAACGGCTCGGTGAGTGACGTCATCGTCTTGATTCCTTCAAAATTCTGAAACTCCCTTCCAATAAGATAAATTTCAGTCAATAGCATCTCCATACTACAGTATCGCCAAAGCGGCGCAGGATCAACTAACCCGCAATCTCGCCATTTACTACATGCAGAAAAATGTTCGAGTAAACGCAGTAAGGTGAGTTCACGAAAACACTCTTTATCCCACAGTTCGGAATTAGGGTCAAACTATCAAACTTCAACCCACCACACAAACCACTGTGAGCCTTTCAGTTGTGATGAACCCTTCTAGCTTCGCGTAGCCAACTGGCCATAAGTGAACGCGGAGCCAGCGTATGTCGTGAAACCCGCAACGGGGGCGCCGTTCGTGAGCTGCCGGTGGGGGGGGTCGCGCAAAGACCTCCGACAGCCTAAGAGAGGCGAGGGATCGTACGAGTACTTTGAATACTTTTTTTGAGGGTGTCGTCCCGAGCTGGCGGTTTTTTTCAAAGTGATGCCGGATCCTGCGCGGAGCTAACCAAATCTCACTTCTATGCGCAGAATTGGGTCTACATGCATCGAGGCTTTCTTAGGCGCAGCGCCATCTTGACCCTCGAATTTGTGAGTTAACAAGTTGAAGGCACCTGAGGCGATGACCACCATCAGCTCTACATTGCATTGCGGGCGAGGTGGAATTAGTTCCGAGTGTAAGAAATACCGATCCGCAGCCAGTTATAGTCTTGTTCGCGAATGGCGTGTCAAGGGAGAAGGGTTTAGCGCCGCGCTACCCATTGTTTCGCTTTTTTTCTCGGCAAGTGACAAGACTGTATCATTGCGTCCATATCAATCGTTTTCCACCGGTTGCTGTCGCTTGCCTCCCTTCACAACTGGTGCAGAAGGGCTAGCGATGCGCCATACCCGGCCTCACTCACACGCCTCATCAACAAGGGCACTTTCGCCGCTT